GATCTTAATGCAGCTGACACTCAGCCAGCTGTGTCACAATCCCGGTGCATTTGGACATATGTAGATATACCAGTGTTCTGCAGTAAGAAAGAGAAATACAAATAATACTTTTCATTGATGTTATGGTAGATATCTCCTTCACGTAATATCCTGTGGCCTACATTTTATTTTAGAAGGCTGTGAACTCCTCAAAAACCCACCTCCAGGATTTTACCCAAGGCTTGGTGTCATCGGTTTTGCTGGTGTTATTGGGTTGTTCCTGGCTAGAGGTATGTGATCATTTATACAGTCTGTCTTTAAAATTGGGTCTGAATGTACTCCTTCAGTGTGGTCATGACAGATGAAAATTCTTGGGAATGACCTGTTCTTGAAGGTCTGATTATCACATAATGCAAAGACCACATTAATAATCTTGTTCTGTTTCTCCCTGGAAAATGCTAAATAAAATAGTGCTAGACACTCTTAAATTCTTAGTCTACATTTAATAAGCAACAACTGTATGAGTCCATATTATTTTTCCTCTAATGAAGAACACATTTTTTTGACTCATGGCATACTTATGTTTCACTTTGAAATATTATCTATCTATACACATAATAAAAGTGAAAAATGTGTATGTGTGTATGTAGCAGAGGTGTCCACTTACACAGACAGCCTCCCGCCTCCACAAACAGGCTATAGTTTCAAGTGCTGAGAAGCCTCCAAAGGCACTTCCTCAACTGACATTGCAGGTTACAGCAAGCACCATGAAGAAGTAGCCCAAACACTGCCAATGTACTCCCCAAACACTACGTCCCACCACCCAAGGAATGCTTTCATTCGGAGACAATTTCATCCTAGATTTGACATGTTTCCTCCACCCAGGGTTCCTTGTGTGGAATTTGCATGACCCTGCCAACTGCCTCTCCCTTAACCCTTTTCTATGGCACACAGCAAACAGAGAGGAATTCATCAACTGAACAGACTGGAGGGGTTTGGGGAACTGACTCCACATGATGGAAGTTGTCGTTCACCTTGCATCAAGTCAGCACTGTGACCCCTACTGACAATGGACCTTGACAACATTTGGCACATAGAATCCCTATGACCAAAGAAAAATACTGGAGAGATTTGGGGAAAATTCACCTTGATTTATAGCCGTTGTAGGTACTGGGATTTATAGTTCACCTGCAATCAAAGAGCACTCTGGACCCCAGCAACGATGGCCCTGGACCTCACTTTGCACACAGAACCACCATGACTAACTGGAGGGGTTTGCGGGGAACTGACCTTTCTTTCACTTACATCCAGAGGCACTGTGTACACCACCAATGACAGATTAGGACCAAACTTGGTACACAGAAGCCCCATGACCAAATGAACCTACTGGAGGGATTTGAGGGGACTGACACACCATGGAGGGAGCTGTAGTTTATCCTGCAGCCAGAGATCATGCTAAACCCCACCAATGATACATCTAGAGAAAACTTGCTCAACATGACAAACTTTTAACAACTACTGATGGAGTTTCAGGGAATTAATCTGGCATGATGTGAGTTGTAGATCACCTTATGCATTTTGTAAAATAAAAAACCCCAACTTTTTCAAATAACACAAACAGTGCCGAGTATCCAAGCTAGTAACTTGATAATTTAGAGAAGAATTTGGTGTCGTGTAGGTAGGATCTGTTCTAGGTTGAGAAGCCAGGCTGGAGTGCCCTTGCATTCAGAATACTATTGTTCTTTGTCACCTTCTCTTTTTATCTGATTGAATCCCATTGTTAAGTCATTTTCATCCATCTAGTTTCAAAATAATTTCTATCATGAATGACTGTGTAAATGTGCATAGGTTACTCTGATCAAATCATTTGTTCTTTGTGTTGTCAAAGGCTTTCATGGCTGGAATCACTGGGTTGCTGTGAGTTTTCTGGGCTGTGTGGCCATGTTCCAGAAGCATTTTCTCCAGGCTTTGAAGTTGCAAGGCTATTAAATGCTAATCAATTGCAAAATTCACACTTGCCTCAAGCAGACAAGAGTTCTTTCTCTCACCCTGGACATTCCACAGATATATAAACCTTACTTGCCTAGTTTCCAACAGACCTCTCAACCTCTGAGGATGCCTGCCATAGCTGTGAGCAAAATGTCAGGAGAGAATGCTTCTGGAACATGGCCATACAGCCCGAAAAACTCACAGCAACCCATTTGTTCTTTAACACCTGGGTCACCCTACTTAGTACATTAGGTTTAAAATGAAGGCTGCAGAAACTTTGTAAAAATAATTTATCTTCTGTGATATAGGTTCCAAAGTCAAGAGGTTTGTGTATCCAGTAAGCTTCATAGGAATTTGTGCCTCTCTCTACTATCCACAACAAGCCATTGCTATTGGAAAGGTTAGTAACTATGAGTTGGTAACTCTATTTCTATATTTTTGGTACAACAAAGCAGAGGCTCTTGTCTGCTTTTCTTGCAGCTTGTTTTTGCAAATAGTTTGATACCACAGTCAAGAGTTTCAGAATGCTACAGTATAGGGAAACCTACTTTTTCTGCTATGATGTCAAGGAGGCAGACTTTTAAGTTTTTGCAAATGAGTGAATCTGTTTGAATTATCTGTAAAGCTTACATAATGAAAAGCCAACATGAGATGTTTTCTCATACTAGTTTTCTCATACATGTTGGACTTTTTAAGAAGTCCGGCATGTGTATTGTGTTTATTTGCATAGTTAGGCAGTTGTTTTCTGATCTTCTGTTCAAGATAGAGCACTGTTTTGCTGCTGTGCTTGCTTGTTTGTCCAGTGGAACTGCATTTATTTTCCTTACCACAAATAATGTTGAAGAACCAGTTGCACTAGATCACCCGACCCAGCAAATTGGTTTTTTTTAAACTTTCCTGCCTGAAAGCTTGATTGCATAATCTGTAATAGTGTCATTTAAAAAAATCAGTATTTGTTTTTATTCAAAATTTCATGATTTTTTTAAACTTGTGGAATACTTCTCAAAAACACTTGATATAGCATACTTTTTAAATGCCTGTAAAATTGTATATTTGCTTTGCAAACCAGGAAAGCAGTTGCAACCCTCCCATCATGTGTTTATGGCTTAAATATGTTAACTGAGTATCCTTTATTATAGCACAATACATTCAAAGTCGTTAATTGCTGAACTGTAAAACAAATTGTTGCCTTGAGGGTGTATTAAAAGCAAATGAAATGCAAAGACATTACGTACAGACGAACCACATAGTGTTTACAGGTTGATGTCTGATAGTGTAGTTAATGATTTATTGGACTTGCTGCATATTGGTTTTTGCTGAGGCTTTGAGCTGCTCTTTTAGATTTAACTGTATCTTTCCACTCTCCTTATGGAAAACTATTTTTTAATTGCTAAAGCCATGCTATGCTCTATCTTGTTGGAGCATGCAAGAAATCAGTTAGAGTGTGTGTGTCAACTGTAAAATAAGATGCATGAAGCTGATTGGTCGGGCTACACCCGGGGAGAGGCTGAGCCATGGACTTTTGGATACTGTTACATAGCTCAGGCTTGAGCTATGCACGTGCTTGCAGAGAGACAGTTTGGAGTGTGCTTTTGCTTCATGAGTTGCTGAAGGAGTTTATCTACATGAACAAAAACAATTTTAAATCTCTCCTAAAAGTACATTATGTGAGTTGATGCAACTGATCACATGATTGTAAATATGTTGTTCTGAATTACGAAGAGTAAACCACTTCTTTATTGATCAACTGCATAGCATATTTTTCTTTCTCTGGCAAAACAATGTGTGGACTGGTCAAGCATGAATTTCATTCCACCACATACTTGACTATCTTTTAGTGGTATGTTTTTATTTATACACAGGTATAAGGCTATGATATATTGTTTTAGTGTCTTGGTACCAAATATAAGTTATGGAAGTCCAAAGTTTCCTCCATTATGCCCATCCTCAGCAACCATCGGAGATCCTGAGAAACCATCTCTGACGGCCTAGAGTTCTTCCTGAACCTTGTGAGATGAAGATGGGGATTGCTGACGGAGATGGGTGACTCTCCTCCATTCATTTCCTGTCGTTCTCTTGGGATCAGGGTCAACATCAGTAAAATCACATGTCTCTAAAATGTGCTTTGTAGGAGTAGTAAAAATGAACACCATCATACATTGCAGAAAGGATAACAAGAAAGAAGAAGGATGTGTGACCAAATAAATGGTGAAGGGGAAAGAGGGGAGAATTTATAGTGGCAGAGTCTTGGAAATATTTAAAAGCACTGTCTGGAGTTGGTGATGCTGGAATTATGCTTGATAATAAACTGAGATAGAAGTACCTCTGACAGTGACAGACCCTTAGGATGGCTTGTGTGGCAAGACTTGACTTTTCTGCAGTATTCCTCTTATCCAGCTCTTATTAGTTTTGTGACATTTTGAATAGTTAAAAGTGCTATTTGAATTATCATTGAACAACATGTTTTAGAGCATGCTTTGTTTGCTTTGGACGAGGCTTTGTTTTTATTCTACCAGGTCTTATTTCTTCATGTTCTGTTGCTGTCACTGCTATTGACGCATGTAAATATTTGATAAAGTAGTACTGGCGAAGTTGAAGATGTTGTTGATTATTTCTGTTGTGGTTCCTGTTAGATGTTAAACTGAGACATGTTTTTGACCCATTTCTGCCCTTGCATATATAATTACATATCAAACTGTTATTCTTAGCATTTTTTTCCTATCAGATGGAAATAAAAATTCCACATATAGGTTGTCTTTTGTGCCAAGACAACCAGTCTTTAGGGGAAATGTTTTGAAAGCAGTGCAGCTATACACATATCTTATTAGTATAATGTTTAACTGTCTAATACAGAGTTTTCCCTTTTAATTGTTTGGAAGGATCAGTTTTGTTGGAGTTCCTTGGTGCTAAATGCTGCAAGTGACTCAGCTAGCAACCTTAATACAACTTATCAGTTGAAAGTTTATAAAGCCTGAAATAAAGTTAAAAACCCAGAAACCTGACTGTATGATTGACTGATTGTATTGCATCTCTGGCTTTTACAAGGTAACTGGTTCTCGACTGTATGACTGGAGTTTGCAGGCATATATAAATATAGAATCTCTCTGGAAAGATACTCCAAAAAAGAAGAAATCTGCAAAAGCAAGTGACAAGGTATGGCATCTAAGCTTTGTCCTATATATATGTCTTTGCATTGTTGTTTTGATTTAGAATGTCCCTCATTGTTTCTTTTAACTAAAACGAGATGCAGTATGATATGCCAATTGAACTCTTTGTATAGTATGTTGATCATTATTGTTAATGTTCATTATGGTGGTTTTTTATAGCTGTACAAACACCAACTGGCTTGAACTGGTTTTTCCCTGGTGGGCAATATGTTTTTAAATTGTAGAGTAGGTTAATGGTTTGTTAAGGTTTTCCCAGGATGGACTACTCAGACAGGGGGGTGATTCCTATTTTTGATAAGAGTTAAGGTACAGTTCTCCATTGATTTACATGGGCTACAATCCCAGCACTCCTGTTTTGTATGTCCAGGGATTGAGCATGATTGATTCTGTCATGCAGAGATCACAATGTTCAAGTCTGAGGTTATTGTGAGTCACTGTTCAGGTGTTGCTCCCAATGAGGTTGGCAATCGGATTGGTTAAGCCAGTGGTTCTCAACCTGTAGGTCCCCAGATGTTTTGGCCTTCAACTACCAGAAATCCTAACAGCTGGTAAACTGTCTAGGATTTCTGGGAGTTGTAGGCTAAAACACCTGGGAACCCACAGGTTGAGAACAACTGGGTTAAACAGTCTTTCAAATAGTGAACACGTAGAATTAAATGCAAAGCACCTAAGGAACAATAAGAATCAATCCTAAATGCGAATAGAATCCTAAGGCGCTTGTAAATTGTATAGACCAGGGGTCCCCAAACTACGGCCCGTGGGCCGTATGCGGCCCGCCAAGGGCCTTTATCCGGCCCGCGCGGCCTGTCCTGGCCTGTCCAAAGCCCCTCGCCGCGCGGCCTGTCCAAAGCCCCTCGCCGCCGCCGCCAATGGCGTCTGCTCTGCTGCGCTTCTCCCTCCACAGGCTTCTCCTTCCACACGGGATGGAGAAGCCTGTGGAGGGAGAAGCGCTCTCTGCTCTCCCGCGGAGAACAGAGAGCACAGCAGAGCGGGCGCCATTCCTCTGTAACAGAAAATCCCTGGTGGCGCAAATGGTGGAGGCGGCGCCGGGTGGGCGTGGCCAGGGAAGCCAGCATCACTTGGCCACGCCCACCCGGCGCCGCCTCCACCATTCGCGCCACCAGGGATTTTCTGTTACAGAGGAATGGCATCCGCTCTGCTGCGCTTCTCCCTCCACAGGCTTCTCCATCCCGTGTGGAAGGAGAAGCCTGTGGAGGGAGAAGCGCAGCAGAGCGGACGCCATTCCTCTGTAACAGACGATCCCTGGTGGCAAGGAAGGCGTGCGCAAATGGTGGAGGCGGCGCCGGGTGGGCGTGGCCAAGCGATGCTGGCTTCCCGGCCTGGAAGCCTGGCCACGCCCACCCGGCGCCGCCTCCACCATTCGCGCCACCAGGGATTTTCTGTTACAGAGGACGTCCGCTCTGCTTCGCTCTCTGTTCTCCGTGGGAGAGCAGAGAGCGCTTCTCCCTCCACAGGCTGCTCCATCCTGCTCTGGAAAGGTTTGGCCCAATTCTATTGTGAAGGTTCAGAATGCTCTGTGATTGTAGTGAACTATAAATCCCAGCAACTACAACTCGCAAATGTCAATATTCTATTTCCCCCATACTCCACCAGTGTTCACATTTGGGCATATGGAATATTTGTGCCAAGTTTGGGCCAGATCTTTCATTGAATCCACAGTGATTTATGGAGGCAGGTGAACTACAACTCCAAAACTCAAGGTCAATGCCCACCAAACCCTTCCAGTATTTTCTGTTGTTCATGGGAGTTCTGTGTACCAAGACTGGTTCAATTCCATCATTGGTGGAGTTTAGAATGCTCTTTGATTGCAGGTGAACTATAAATCCCAGCAAATACAACCCCCAAATGCCACCAGTGTTCACATTTGGGCATATTGAGTATTCGTGCCAAGTTTGGTCCAGATCCATCCTTGTTTGAGTCCACAGTGATCTCTGGATGTAGGTGAACTACAACTCTAAAACCAAAGGACACTGCCCACCAAACCCTTCCAGTATTTTCTGTTGGTCATGGGAGAACTGTGTGCTAAGTTTGGTTCAATTCCATCGTTGATGGGGTTCAGAATGTTCTTTGATTATAGGTAAACTATAAATCCCAGCAACTACAACTCCCAAATGACAAAATCAATTTTTTTTTAGTGAAGGACATACATTGGGTTGTTAGGTATCCAGTGGTTTTTGAGTTCTGTTAATCCCACAAACGAACATTACATTTTTATTTATATAGATTTATTTCCTATATTTATACCCTGCCCTTCTCCCCCTGAAAGGGGACTCATGCTTACATATTTCAAAAACCACTTTTAAAAAGACAGAAAATAGAATGCTTTCCTCATTTTAATTGGAACTATTTTATCTCCAGAAATGCTAAAACCATGCTTTATGTTCAGATTGTAACAATAAAAATACATCATGCATATCAGATATTTACATTACAATTCATAACAGTAGCAAAATAGGACATATGCAATTTGGTCATCATTTTTTTTAAAAAAACTATAGTCCGGCCCTCCAACGGTCTGGGGGACAGTAATCCGGCCCCCCGTTTAAAAAGTTTGAGGACCCCTGGTATAGACCTTCAGTATTTACAATTGTCAATTTGACAGTTTGTGCCCTCAGACATACAATCTAAAAAGACACAACATACATTGAAAAGGGGATGGTATTTAGGGAAGGAAGGGTGTTGGATTTAATAAATACTGCTTGTTTGTCTCTCTCTCTCTCTCTCTGAGGCCAGTGCAGTGGCATTTGGGATGGAGAAAGAGCTTTCATCTGTTTCTGGACTTAGGCAATGGATTTATGCCTGCCTGCCTGATATTTATTTATTTACTGTCTCTACCCTGAAGGGGACTCAGAGCAGCTTCCAGTTTGGCAATAATTCAATGCTGCAATACAACATAAAAGCATATAAATACATAACACATTAAACAATTAAAATAATAAACAACCATATAAACACATTGTTAAAACTGTTAAAATCATAGCACCTAATCCTGTAATCATAGTGAATTTGTCTATATTAACTCATTTATATTAATTATATATTAATTATTATTGGTTTACTTGTTTTTTGCCAATATAGAGGGGATATAAATGTTGCAATAAACAACAAAAATAAACTATTTTTCCTAACTACAGTCATAAAAGTTGGAAGAGACTACCAGGGCCATTCAGTCTAATCCCATGCCACAGAGGAATACAATAGCACAGCACTCCCAATAGATGTCCATCCGACCTCTGTTTAAAATTCCCCAGAAAAGGAAACTCCATCACATTTCCATTTTTCACTGTTGAACAACTTTTACCATCAGGAATTTCTCCCTAATATTTCGGTGAAACCTGTTTTCTGTTGTGTAACTTGTAATTCTCTCTTATTCTCTGTAGGTATCTTGTTCAGTCAAATATTACCTCACTGAATAACTCAAAAGAGATCTCTTTCATTCAAAAACTAGGCTAAGAAATTAGAGTCAGTTTCTTTCCAGCATCAAAATGATTTTCAGAACATTCAAAATGTTATTCTGTATATGCAAAGATCTTGGGATAATTTCTGTGCTGGTTAAGTTATCTGACTTTTGTATCCATCTAATGTCAGTCTGTGTTATCTTTAAGGTTGATGCAGAGAGTAACAAAATGGCGAAAGTACAAGAAGAAAAAGCAATCAAATAAAATAATCTATTTCTTATTTAAAAGGTAAGCTTTCCTAAGGCTTTTGTCATGAAAATTACTAATCTTGTTTAAGTCAACAAAGTGATTGTGACAAAACCAAGAGGTAGTGAACAAAAACAGTCTATTCATTGGGGATTCTGGAACAGTGCCTGAATTGTTCTCAGAATATAACATTCACGTTACAGTAAGAACTGCTGAATTTTGACCACACCTAGTGAAATAGTTAAAGTAGTTTAATACGTGAATAAAGACAAACAACTAATATTCCCAATGAAGAGTGCTATAGCTCAGTGGAGGAGTGTTTTCTTATGGGTTTTCTATGTTTATTTGACACAATAGCAGAAGGTGTCCTGTCTCATTGCCAAAATAACGTAATGGGGTTTTATGTACTATGAGTTAGGGTTTTGAGAGTTAGGGGCAGCCTTTACTGCTCCACAAAAAGAGGAAAATGTTTTTTCTGACCCTGAAATAGCCAAATGTTTAACCTGGCTATAATGCAATTTCTCATATTCTTCTTTGTAGAATAATTCAAAAATAATTACGTTCACGTAAATAAATGGATATTATTCAGTAAAAACAGAATTGTTCTCCTCCTTGTTTCTCTTTTATTTATTTTTAATTCTGAGAATTTTGGATATACAGTTACTCAAATAAAGCAGAACACATTTTGTACTGCCACTTTAAAAATCGTTGCCGCTGTTTTATTACACTTTTTATCTCTCCTGACCATTCCAAAGGTATAGTGATGTGTATCATATATTAACTACAGTCATAAAATACTTTAAAAGGCTTAGAACTCAGCAAGAGCTTATCTTTTAGAACAGGAGTACAAAATATACATCCTTCTGGTGGTTTATTTCTAAAGCACCAGTTCTAAAATTCTGCCTAACTTCATAAACTAGGCTTAAACATTTCAGTCTCTGTGTTGAATTTCTCTGCCACTGCTCTTGTCCTAGTTTTTATCTGCTGCTCAAAGGATGGTCTCCTGATGTGGAGGGTTTTTTCCATGTCAGAAACAACTTGAGAAACTGCAAGTTGCTTCTGATGTGAGAGAATTGGCCATCTGCAAGGACGTTGCCCAGGGGACACCCCGATGTTTTACCAGCCTGTGGGAGGTTTCTCTTATGTCTCCACATGGAAAAGCTGGAGCTGACAGACAGGAGCTCACCCTTTCTCACAGATTTGAACCGCTGACCTTCAGGTCAGCAGTTCAGCCAGCACAAGAGTTTAACCCATTGCACCACTGCAGCTTCATGATGTGGAGGTATATGATAGATACGATTTCCCTGAAAAGATGATAGCTTGGGAATCATCCTTTGAGTTTATCTGTTTAGGATCCTGTTTAGGAGTCAAGATATATTTCTAGATTTAAGAAAGAGTGTCTTACATTAGCCAGATGTACCGTTGCATTGTTAGTTTGTAATGAAGGAAGTTGCAACATTTCCTTTTTAGTTAATTCCAGTAGTATCTATACAGTTATCTGTTTACTAATGTCCAGCTCTACCAAACCCTTGGGTTCATCTGCAACGATATTTCATGTTGCTTACTCATAAAGATTTTTTTCTGGTTCTTTTGAACCATGATACTGTTTCCCTTAGTTTCATATGAACACTGCAGTATCAAGCAACCCTTAGCCCTGGGTTTAACCAAGAGAGATTGATGGAAGAACATATACACCGGAAGCTATGGTTTACTCAGATTTGTTCACTTGATTAACTTCTTTAAAACTCACAGTTGAGTCATACTGAAATTTGAGCTTCCACTTTGCCAGGCTCACCAGCTACCCTGCCAAGTGGTCTTGAATTTATTGTATTTTACTGTGAATTAGTAAAGAAAACCTAATTTGTATTTTCCTTTTTAGTACAGATGAATAGAGAACTTACAGAAGATCAACAATTTCCTAGAAAATTGCAGCATCTATCATGGCAGTGAGTCCAGTTTGCCTGTGTCTTGGCTCAGAAAGAGGGGAGCTCACAGTCCATCTGAAAAGCACCCTGCCTGAATGTGAAAGGACGTAGCCTTGCCTTTGCCAGTTACACTCTCGAAAATGGGAGTTCGCTGATGTGACTCAGAACCTGCTTCAGGACCTGTGCCTATACACTGTAATCCTGACCCCAGTTTACAAGGAACTATGTTCCATTGAACTTAATGGGACTTAATTCTAAGTAAATGCTTGGGGTGGCTGCAAATTGACTCTTGAAACTCCCCAGTCTCTTGTTACTATTTATAAGGCTTAAATAAAATGAAGATTTAACAGTATTGTCTTTGCCGCCCCATTTTTTTCATATTTAGTTGTTTAGACATCATTCTTATATTGTATAATCTACTGTAGGGAAAACGAATTAACATTCTTGGTGAGAACAAAGCTTATTTGTGTTGTGGTGGGAGACAAAGAGCTAAACATATCAGCATTGTCTAAACATATCAACATGTCTAGCAGTAAGTTTGCAAATTTGACAACGGGACCATAAATATAATGACCTAGTCTTTTGTTTGAGCTTTCCCCACCCCATCAAACTCTTCTGGATGTCAAAAATCAGTGGGGAAGTGTATAATGGGGCATCTGTGAGCTTCTCTCTATAGATTGATGGGAACCAAACTCTTTGTTTGTTTTTTTTGTAAGGGAATTTTCTTTGCCTGAATGCACAGCTCAGTAAGGGTCATGTTGATCCTGTGGGAACTGACTATAGCATAGCTAATGATTTATTCCTGGCCAGCTAGAAGGGAGGTCCATAGAACAGCAGAATGCAAACGTCTTGTGTAACATAAAAGATTTTATTGCTTAAAAGCCATTTTTCATTTATTATTTCCAAAATGAACATAGCCTGGCAGAGAGATAAAAATACTGATGAAACTAAGCAGTTTTGTGAATTTTAGGCCATCAAAATGATAACTTTTTTTCATTGTCTTTTATAGGTTTGTACTGCCATATGTTGTGCACTATTTTGTATGATTATTTGTGGGGTCCATCAGTTTAGGAAGTGCTTAGGTCAGGAAAATGCTATATAATAGTAATTCTGTCTTATTAATAAGAACAATTGCATGCCAGCTGTGTATATACAGAGAGGGGAAAACAGTGCAATGGATCTTAGTTCTAGCAGATTACTCAGTAATATAATGATGTCCCCAGGTTTTGATTTAACAAAGACCCTGCTATTCTCACTCCCCCCCCCCCCCCCCCCAACAAAATGGATCACTGGCTCTTCTGTCTCTATGCAGACCATTTCAATGTTAACATTTACTTCATTTTTTGATTTTCTTTCCATCATAAATATTTACAATTAAGTGCCATCTTATTAACTTAATTTTAGATTTTGGCCTACAATTCTAAGGATTGGGCTTATAAAAATTTATAATAACCTGCAATTGTGTAGAACATGTTTTATAATAGCTAAAAACCAATTGCCAAGAAGGTGAGCCATTTTCGCATTAATTAAATAATTTCCTTAAGAGCTTTGGCTCAAAAGAGTGTTGCTGTATCGAATCAAGGGCCTGTCTAGTTCAGCAATCTCCTTTAAGTACTTGCCAGCGAGATGCATCCAGGATCATAAACTGGGCATGAAGGCACCATCTTGTTTGTCCTCAGTCTGGTATATGGCCTCTAGGAAATGTATTCAGTTAGATTTTGCAGCTGATTGGCTATTTTTTCAACTTTGTACTGCTAACTGACCCTTAAAGTACAGTCAGACTTTCACATTCGCTGGGGTTAGGGTACCCGAGAACACCTCTAGCAACCCTGCGTGCTACAGGGTTCTATCTGATTCTGTTCAACATCTTTATTAATGACTTAGATCAGGGGTCCTCAAACTAAGGCCCGGGGGCCAGATGCGGCCCTCCAAGGTCATTTACCCGGCCCTCAATCAGAGTCAACCTAAGTCTGTAATGACTCAAAAGCACACAACAACAATCCTATCTCATCTGCCAAAAGCAGGCCCACACTTCCCATTGAAATACTAATAAATTTATATTTGTTAAAATTATTCTTCATTTTAATTATTGTATTGTTTTTAAGTGGCTTTTGCACTACAAATAAGTTATGTGCAGTGTGCATAGGAATTAGTTCATGTTTTTTTCAAATTATAATCCGGCCCTCCGATAGTTTGAGGGACTGTGACCTGGCCCTCTGTTTAAAAAGTTTGAGGACCTCTGACTTAGATGAAGGGTTAGACGGCGTGATCATCAAGTTTACAGACGACACCAAATTTGGAGGGATAGCCAATACCCCAGAAGACAGGAGCAGAATTCAAAACGATCTTAACAGATTAGAGAGATGGGCCAAAACTAACAATATGAAGTGCAGCAGGGACAAATGCAAGATACTCCACTAGGCAGAAAAAAATGAAATGCAAAGGTACAAAATGGGGGATGTCTGGTTTGACAGCAGTATGTGTGAAAAACATCTTGGAGTCCTTGTGGACAACAAATTAAACATGGGCCAACAATGTGATGCGGCAGCAAAAAAAGCCAATGGGATTTTGGCCTGCATAAATAGGAGTCTAGTGTATAGATCCAGGGAAGTCATGCTACCCCTCTATTCCGCCTTGGTCAGACCACACCTGCAATACTGTGTCCAATTCTGGGCACCGCAGTTGAAGGGAGATGTTGACAAGCTGGAATGGGTCCAGAGGAGGGAGACTTAAAATGGTCAAGGGTCTGGAGAACAAGCCCGATGAGGAGCAGCTTAAAGAGCTGGGCATATTTACACTTCAGAAGAGAAGGCTGAGAGGAGACATGATGGCCATGTATAAATATGTGAAGGGAACTCAGGGAGGAGGGAGCAAGTTTGTTTTCTGCTGCCCTGGAGACTAGGATGCAGAACAATGGCTTCAAACTACAGGAAAGGAGATTCACCTGAATTTTAGGAAGAACTTCCTAACTGTGAGAGCTGTTCAGCAATTGAACTCTCTGCCCCGGAGTGTGGTGAAGGCTCCTTCTTCAGAGGCTTTTAAGCAGAGTCTGGATGGCCATCTGTCGGGGGGTGCTTTGAATGTGATTTTCCTGCTTCTTGGCAGGGCTGTTGGACTGGATGGCCCACAAGATCTCTTCCAACTCTATGCTTCTATAATTGTAATCTAAAGGTCCCCAGTGTGATTCTGCAGTTAATTTTTGCCAGAAGTTGTCCATATAGTCAAGGGCAGAAATTCAGAGGGGTATCAGAATCACACGTGAGAAACAGTAGATATGGATCACATTCTTCTAGTATGTTTTCTGCATACAGTCAAGCGTAAGAGTGAAAATGCTTCATCTACTTTTGGAAATGAGCTCCCCCACCCCAACCCTTTAAAAACCAAATTGAGCTTTGAAAAAGAAGTTTCATTTCCTGTTAGAGTAATAACCACAGAAGCTTATTTTCATGTTCTGATGAAGCAATGTGGTATACGAGCTGCATGTTTTGAACTAGAGAAAGAACAAAGAATATTTGGGTGACACAATTCTAGTCCGTTGCAGCATACTGCCTTGCAATTCATTTTTTCTCGGTAATCAAGATTGTGGAGACTCACATGATGGTTAAAATCTTCCAGTGTTTCACCATTGTCCTACTGATATCATCTGAATACTGCCATGGAATTAGAGCCAAAAGTACAGCAAATGGTTTCTGTGCGCCTGAAAAATGTATGGCTCAAAAGAACCCAGAGTAATCATCATAAATAATTTAACAGACTGTATTTACAGTCAAGAAAATTATTTCCTTGCTTGACAATATTGCTTTTTTAATGCAAATTAACCAGCAATCTGTAAGAAGTTTTCTTACTTCCCACACACAGGATTGCAATTCACCCTATAAAAACACCAAACACAATATTCAGAAATCCTTACTCGGGGTGTTGGTTATCTTACATAACCAGACATACAAGGTATAAAGGTTACACCTGACTGTTCGTGGAGGTTAATGATTAAACTAAGTATTGAGTAGCATCGCCTTAGATAGACAGTATTTTCCTACATCTTAGATTTCTTGACGGATGTTTAAGTAAGGACAAAAAATTAAAATAAGGGCATAAATTTGCACTTCTCAGTCCCATGGAAATCTAACATAGCGAGACAACTTAATACAATTCTAAAAGGTATTATATTTTAGCCAGTATTTGTATCACCAAATCAACAAAGCTAAATAATAAATGTTGGTCTTGATAGTTTGGTACTCATGGCATGTTAGATCCTAGTAACCGGCCTCTTTCAACTTTTGTGTTTCTGGGCACTTTTTGTGGCTTTTTTGCACAGCAATTTCTTAATGCAAGAATTGCTTTATTTGAAACAGGTTTAAGATTCCATTTTACCAAATGTTTGTGTTGAACATATTTTGAAACCAGCAAAATATGAATTGTGAAACGTATTTATTTCAGGTGTTTTGTAATTTTATTGTGTTCCTACCAACAAATGCATTTCCATTTTGCTTTAAGTACAACTTCTGTATTAGCCATTTGGTTACCTATGCTCTCTACTTCTTGACTTGGATAGAACACAAGTTGTAGACTAAACAGTAGGGCACTTCCTCTGCCACACTAACTGCATGAACTGCTTTGCAGCCACAGACTTTGTCAGGATTTTGTAGCTAGAACATTTCTGCATCCTAGTTTCTTACCTATATATCTATATGCCGCTCTTGCAGTCAATATTGCAGAGTGCTAGTGTTTAGCCTACAGCACACCTCTTGTGTTCCATCTAAGCCTAAAGAGCATAAGTAGCCAATGTATATATATTTTTACATTGGTTAATATATATATTTACATTTGCTAACTCTGGATTTAAACGGTTTGGGACCATCCTACCTGCGTGACCGCATCTCCGTTTATGAACCCACGCGCTCACTTTGTTCATCCGGAGAGGCCCTGCTTGCGATTCCGCCTGCGTTGCAGGCACGTCTGGTGGGGACGCGAGACAGGGCCTTTTCTGTGGTGGCCCCCGACTCTGGAATACCCTCCTCAAAGATCTTAGACAGGCCCCTACGTTGGCAGTCTTTAGAAAGAACTTGAAGACCTGGCTGTTCTGATGTGCCTTTCCAGAATAGGAAAACTCCAACAAGTCCCAGAAGCACTTTATTAGAAATTATGATAGTTGGCACACTGCACTTACCCTATAATCCCTATATATCACCTGTCACATCAGCACTTTTAATCTGTACCCATTACTCTGGCCCGGCCCAATTTTATTGTGTCTTGGTGTATTGTTTTCTTGCGTGTTGTTTAATATTGCTTTAACTGTTTTTAATTTGCTTTAGGTTGTGTATTGTTATGTTGTGTTTTGAGGCTTTGGCCTTT